ACGGTTGGACTCGATGATCTCAAAGGTCTTTGCCAACCCAAATGATTCTGATTCGAAGTCAAAATACTTGGGGTTTGTTTGGATTCCAGCACTGCTTAGGTGGCTCCCGGCCGGGACTGGCAGCCCCGTAGCGCCAGGTGCTGAGCGTGCGAAGCAGAGGCCTCCTCTGCCCCGAGAGAGCTGCGCTCTAACGAACGAGGCGGTTCTTATCTCAAAGCAATGACATGACTGTCTCTGCTCCGCCAGATGAACAGCAGTGCGATGAGGAAGGTTCCGAAAGCCTTGAGCTTCCGAGCTCCTTGGCGGGAAAGTGGGAAGAGGTTTTCTCGAGCCCGGAGGAAGAGGTAAAGTCAAGCGGCAAGAGCCGGAGCGCATCGACCCCGCAGCAGAGAGCCGCCACGGGCAACGGGCTGAGACGCTCCGCTCGCCGCCGGAGAGACTTGGCCAAGAAGGACGCGCCCGAGGACGCGGCCGCGGTGGAGGGGCCGTACATCTGCTGCGAGTGCGGGGAGAGCTTCCTGGACAAGCAGCTCTTCGCCGCCCACCAGAAAGCGCACGCCAGCGAGGAGGCCTGCACTTCCCTGGAGCACGGGGAAAGCTTCCGGCAGAAATCCAAAACCTCGGCGAAAGCCCAAGGGCCCTCCCGCTCCAAACCGTCCAAGCGCCCCGACGGGGAGAAGAGCCCTGGTTTCAAGTACGGCTTCGTCAGGCACCAGGTGAACAACATGGTGGAGAGGCCGTACACCTGCTCCCAGTGCAAGGAGAGCTTCAGCCTGGAAGTGAGCCTGATCCTGCACCAGAAGCTCCATACGGGGAAGGGCGACGGGCCGCTGACGTGCACCTACTGCGGGAAGGACTTCCGAGACCTTTCCAAAGCCATCCGCCACCAGCGCATCCACACCGGGGAGAGGCCGTACCAGTGCACCGAGTGCGGGAAGAGCTTCATCCGGCGGGACCACCTGCTCAAGCACTGGCGGGTCCACACCGGGGAGACCCCCTACCAGTGTCCCGTCTGCGGGAAGCACTTCCGCTACAAAGAGTCTCTCAACTGCCACCAGAAAATCCACTCCCGCAACCCCCGGCCCATGGAGGATTCGCAGCACAACCTGGAGTCGGCGACTCAAACCGGCCATTTCTGCGTGAAAAAAGAAACTAATCAGTAGCGCTGCGGGGCGGGGGGGAGGCCGGGGGCGGAAGGGCTCGCGGTGACGGTGACGGTCTGGCCGGTGGCCGTGCAGCGCGATGGGAGGTGAACTTGTATCGCAGCTAATCCGTGTGGTCATGCTACAAAGCCCGCTTTGTCGAAGCATCAAAGGAATTCCTCTTAAAAACTCTGATCGGACGGCCTAGGCACCTCTTCGACCCCGCGGGGTGACGCGGGACTTCCACGGCGGCGTAGGCCTCGTACTAGTCGTCCCCTACGCAGGTTTGGATTTTGCCCGTAGAGAATAATCCCGAGCGATTCTCTGGGGTCCGTATTTAGCAGGTGTTTCCCCACCAATCTTTGTGCATATTCAGGAGTGACGAGCTTTCGCTTTCTTTTTTCCCCACTCGTTTCACCGCAAGGCTGGAAGCGCGAGGAGGGAGGGAGGGAGGGGAGGAAGGTGCCATTCCCAGGCCACCGGCCGCCCGCTCCCGCGGCGTCGCCCCCCCTCGAGCGGCTTTTTTTTTGGGAGGGCGGGAAGAGAGGCGAGGCAGAGACGTGGTCTGGGGCACGGCGCAGGATTTGTCGAAGGCAAAAACGCGGAGAGGAGAGAGCGGCCGAGAGCAAGGTGAGAAAAAGTAGGTGCAGGAGGAAAGGACGGGCAGGAGAAGGGGCTGAGGACTTTGGAGCAGGAGGAGTCGGGAAGGGCAGCGTGTGGAGGCGCGATCGGGTGACTCGCCCGAGGAGGACACGTCTCTGTTCTTTCGAAGGATGTTACTGGTACCAGTCGGGCTGTGGTTTCCCTCTGGCCGAAGGGAACGGAGCCGCTGGTCTCTCACATGAACTCCTGTCAATGAAGGCGATTTTATTATTATTTTTTAACTGGGTTTGGTCTCACACTCAGGTAAGTCAGACGAGTGAAAGCAACTTCTCCTAACCCCTGTAAAGAGCTGTTTGGTTTTTAGTTAACCTAGAAGTAGTGTATTATTATTATTATTATTATTATTATTAATTAATATTATTGTTATTATTATTATTATTATAATACTACTACAAGGAAATGCGTGGCACTATATTTCACAGTTGATCTAAAACACTTAAATGTATGAGATAACTGACCAGTTTTTCAGACGTCTGTGTAAATATTGGTGGACTTCTCGGAGCTACTTGGTGTTGTCCCTGAGGTGGCTGTAAGTGGTGTCTCTTCCGCTGTGTGTCGTCGGCTGCTGGTTCGTGATGGTGTTTTGTAATAACTTTTTGTAAAGTCCGTCAATACAGTGTTTCCATTCTGAAGCCCGTGTCGGGTGAGTGATCGCAGCCCCCGTCCCCTCGCCGGCCTCCGCGTTTCGCCCTTGCTCGCCCCAGACGCCTGCAGCGCCCTTGCCCGGCACCCGCCTGATATGTGTGAGCTTTTTGCAGGTAACTTGCACAACCGGTGACCCGCACGAGCCG